TTCCCGTCTCCAGAAGCTCTTCTACCACAAACAAAAAGACAAAAGTATACAAAGCTTTGAGTAAAAAGAACAATAGACAAACAGGAAACTGCAAAACTACTTCAGAATAGGATATTAAATACTTAATTATAACATAAAGGTTAAAGGGGACATTAAAAATAACTACAATTACTGAAATTTGCTAACAAATGTACAACATAAAGAGAGATAATTTGTAACAACAAAATCATAAAAGGGGAGGAGAAAAAGGATCGAACCGATACAGGTGAATGAAGATAAAAGGCAAGTAGAAGAAAAAGGACTATTTTATGCATGAGAAGTTTTACACAAACATAATGGTAACCACAAAACAAAAATCCAGAACTAAAACATAAAGCAACAACAAAAGTGAACAGAAAAAAAATAATAGTAAACCAACCAAAACAAAATAGTGAACAGAATCACAAGGGAAAAGAAACAATGGAGATACAGAGTAATCAGAAAATGAGAGGTAAAATGGCTGTAGTAAGTCCCCATATATCAATAATCACCCCAGGTGTAAATGGACTAAACTCACCAATCAAAACCACAGAGCAGTGGAAGGAATTAATAAACAAGACTCAACTCTATGTTGCCCGCAGGGGATTCATCTAAGCTCCAAAGACGAACAGAGGCTCAAAATGAAAAGGTGGAAGATGATACTTGAAGCAAATGGCATCTAGAGAAAAGTGGGCATAGCAGTACTTAGATCAGACAAAATAGATTTCAAGATAAAAATGGTAGTAAGAGACAAAAATGGGCACTTTATAGTGACAAAGTAGATAATACCAAGAAGATATAACACATATACTAGTATATGCACCAAAATACATAAAGCAATTACTAACAGTCCTACAGGGGAAAACGGACAAAAATACAACTATAGTAGAGGACTGAATACACCATTGTCAGCAATGGACAGATCCTCCAGACAGAAAGTCAATAGGGAAATTAGACAAAATGGACTTGATCAATATTTATAGAACTTTTCATCCCCAAATGACAGAACACACATTCTCCTCAAGAGCACATGGGACATTCTCAAGGATAGAAAATACGCCGCATTCCCAAAATGTTGGTATGTCACACTGTCATTCTTAATTGTCTCTCTATATATTTTAACATTTTCTTTTACTTCTTCTTTGACACAATAGTTTTTCAGTAGCATGTGGTTTATTTATTGATTTTAGAGAGAGGGGTGGGGAGAGAGAAACATCGACTTGTTGTTCCACTTATTTATGCATCCATTGGTTGCTTCTTGCATGTGCCCTAACCAGATATCACACCTGCAACCTTGGTGTATCAGGACAAAGATCTAACCAACTAAGCCATCCAGCCAGGGCCAGTAGCATGTTGTTTAATCTCCACGTATTTGTGGTTTTTCAGCTTCTTAAAGTTAATTTCCAGTTTCTTTGAAAAGAAAAATAAACTTGACAAATCTTTGGTTAGATTCGCTAAGGACAAAAGAGAAAAGACTCAAGGGTCCCAGGTTCGATTCTGGTCAAGGGTATGTACCTTGGTTGCGGGCACATCCCCAGTGGGGGGCTTGCAGGAGGCAGCCAATCAATGATTCTCTCTCATTATTGATGTTTCAATCTCTCTCTCACTCTTCCTTCCTCTTTGAAATCAAAAAAAATTTTTTTTTAAAGTATAGAGCCTCATAAGGTAAAAATAAACAACGAAAATGAGAGTGACCCAGAGATTTCTTTTGAGGGCTTTGTCTTTTCCTGTTGGTTTTGTTCTGCTTTGTTATTGGAGTTACACTGGCCTTGTAAAGTAAGTTGGAAATTTTTATATTTTCTGGAAAAATTAGAGCTCATAGGGGTTTTCTTGGTGGAATTCACCTATAAAACCATCTGGACCTCATGCCTTTGGAGGGATAGATAGCTCCTTGGATACCTTTCTAATTCCTACCATAATTATTGCTCTGTTGAGAGTTCTTCATGTTGAGTCAAACTTGGTCATTGATATTTCTACTAAAATATACCTTTAACGTGCCTGCTCAAATTTACTATTGCAAGTTTGAACATTTATATTTTTACCATTTGTTAAAATCTCCTTATCTATAGTAATAACCCCTAATATTGTTTATTTGTATTCTCTCTCTTTCTCTCTCTTCCTTCCCCTGCCCTTTCCTTTCTTTCTTCATCAGACTTACCAAAGATTGGTCTATTTTATTGGACCAGTCGAAGAACTAAATTTATTAGTTTTACTAGTCAATTGCTGTGCTCATTCTATTTGATGATGAATGTCTAGTTCAGTGATGGCGAACCTATGACACGCGTGTCCAAGGTGACACGCGAACTCATTTTTTTGGTTGATTTTTCTTTGTTAAATGGCATTTAAATATATAAAATAAACATCAAAAATATAAATCTTTGTTTTACTATGGTTGCAAATATCAAAAAATTTCTATATGTGACACGGCACCAGAGTTAAGTTAGGGTTTTTCAAAATGCTGACACGCTGAGCTCAAAAGGTTCGCCATCACTGGCTAGTTTCATCATTAATAATTCCTCATACTTTGAGCTTATTTTCATGTTCTCTTTTTACCTTCTTTAGTTGAAATCTTAGTTCACTAAAAAGATTGGAAATACAATCATTTTTGCTTTTTAGGTAAATCCACTTAAATTATACTTTTCATTGGAGTGCTGCTTTGTTTCATCTCACATGCTTTCTCATAAATAGTGTTGTTGAGCCCATTTCAACTGAACTTTAATTTCAACTACTATATTTTTAGTTCTAAAATTTCCATTTGGTTCTTCTTTAGACCTATTTCTCTGCTAGAGCTTTTTATTTTTTCTTTGTTTCAAGCAAGTCATAATTTCTTGTTAAAGCATTTTTATCGTGGCTGCTTGAAAATATTTTTTTTTTCAGATAATTTTAATACCTCTCTCCTTTTGGTTTTGGCAGCTGCTGATTGTTGTTTTTTTTTTTTTCATTCAATTTGAGATCTTCCCAGTTTTGTTTTGTTTTTAAAAAATATATAGCCCTAGCTGGTTTGGCTCAGGGAATAGAGCCTCGGCCTACGGACTGAAGGGTCCCGGGTTGATTCCAGTCAAGGGCACATGCCCAGGTTTTGGGCTTGATCCCCAGTAGGGGGCGTGCAGGAGGCAGCCAATCAATAATTCTCTCATCATGGATGTTTCTAGCTCTCCCGCTCTCTTCCTCGCTGAAATCAATAAAAATATATATACATGAAAAAAAAAAACTAGCTATTTTTTTTAACTCACCAGGAATTGAACCGGGACCCTTCAGTCCACAGGCCAACGCTCTATCGACTGAACCAAACCAGCCAGGGCCTTCCCAGTTCTTGGTATGATGAATGATTTTCAATGGAAACGGGCATTTTTTAATGCTAAAATTGTGTTTATTTTAAACCAAAAGGGTCTGATACTCATTCCCGTTACAACATTTTCAGAGAAAAAGGGAAAACAAAGGAGGCAGGAGAGGGGATGGGTTGCCAGCATGCGCCTTCTAAGCAGGTCCCTGCAGTGGCCCGCAGGAGGCCTGGGCCCAGGGCACCCTAGGACCCGCCAACACTTCCTCGTCTCATCTGTCATCCAACTATCACTTCTGGTGAGTGCGTGTTTCGTACTAAAATTCAGGAAAGCCTCATAAAACCAGCAAGTCCCTGTGAGCGCAAGCTCGGCTTTCAGCTGTGCGGGAGGCAGAGTTGACGCTTGAACACATCCACCCAGACCTGGGGGTGGCCGCAAGGCAACAGGTACAGCACGTGGCCCTGGCCGTCCGCAGGCACTGGAGCCCCCTCCACCCCTTTCCCCGCCCCAGCCCTCAGGCACGTGGCTGCAGGGGAGGGGCTTCGATCGGAGGCGAGAGGCTGCGGAGTGAGCGGTGCGCGGCCTCCCGGGCAGCAGAGCTGGCAGCCCCCCAGCCGGGCGCCCCCTCCTCCCGTCCCCAGTGCACAGGGGCTCGTCACCGGGCTGGGCAGATGCCACGAGGCATCCCGGGCTCCTTCCGCATCGCCTCCCTCCCCCGGGCCAGCCTCCTCCTCTGGGCAGCTTGCTCAGCAGGTGCCGGTTGGGCTGGTTCCTCCCAAGCACTGCTGCAGCCTCGCTCTGCCCGGGGTCTCCTGCTGGTCCCCGCTGCTTTCGCAGCCGCGCATGCGCAGGAAAGACCCCCGGTCCTGACACGTGGAAGGATTTCCCCGACTGTCATTCTTACTCCAGCGCACGCCAAACATGGACATTTCTGTCTTATTTTATGAGACTCTGGGTCTTATTTAACCCTCCTGTTTTAGCCGGTTTTCTCTGACAGGGCTCTGGGGGGGTAGAGGGGGGCGGGTGCTGTCTTTTCACTGCCAGATGGAGGTAGCCCTTCAAGGCCCAGCTCAGCCCCTGTTGACAGCGGATAGAGGTGAGGGCCTCCTCACTGCAGCGCGGGGGGGGGGGGG